ACGGAGGGAGGGGCACAGTTGTAATTCAAACCCTACTGAGAATTTCTGGATACCGGGTCAAAAGCAACATATCGGTTTCAAATTGTTTCTTAGACCTTACAAAATGTTTCTTACTATAGGGCAAAATTTGAAGAAAACCCGCCGCTGCTCTTAGAGCTGTCGTACATTCTTTTTCTTATGTCACAGATGGTATGCGGAGGAATAAAGTTATCAAGCGTTTCGTTGATAAAGATGACCATTGTGACGTAGTCACGCGTAGGTCAGTCCGGGCTGGTCGGGCCTCGCTTCTCACCCGGGACCCGGGCCACGCTAGCCGCCTCGAGACGTGCGCCGCAGCGCAGGCAACCCATTCGCCTCGAGTGCCGAGAGGAGCAGCCGTGCGAGGGGGGCAGAGACAGAGCGGAAACCAAACACGAGGCCACGCTCAGGCCGGGCGGCTCCTGGCAAGTAGGCAACTACTCGAGCAGCTTGAGATCAGTATCAGGGCGGGGCGCCGTGGTGAGCCACGGTAGGAAAGTCTACCCGCACGCCTGCTTGGGGTACAGTATATAAAATAAAGGAAGGGGTCGATGGACCACCCTGTATTAATTTATAGTTTTTAGCAGATGATACATTTAAAACAATTTAACCTATACTAACACTTAAATGTGTCAGAATGCTTGTACTCTCGTATTTCGTGTATGGGGAGGCATAGGGCAAAAATAAAAGTGGGGCCCGGGTCGTCGGGTCGTGCCCCACCTAGTGGTGCCACTCTTGTAGCACCAGCCCACTAACCCGACTATACTCAACAATGCTGTGCCTTCCCCCGCTCTGCTCTCCCCCCTCATGTACCGGGTGTCCAGGCTAAAACATGTTAGCAGTACGTTGGGTTGCCTATGCACTGGCTGCAGCTGCAGGGGTAGGGGCTGCAGGCGCGGGCGGGTGGCGGAGAGGAGTGGGGGGGGGGGGCTGCCACCTCCCCGCCACCCCGCGCCTCTAGCCCCTGCAGCCAATACATAGGCGACCCAACGTACTGGTATGTCTTAGCTTGGACACCCGGTACCACGTTAGGTCACCAGATTGCAAGCCAAACATTAACAGAGAGAATGAGAACACAGTTAAAGATGAAAGTATCATCAGCTGTCAATCGTCGATTCTTGATTGAAATTTTAGTTGTTTTTTTTTGCATGAAAGTATACATATTTATGTCTAAAGTGGTAAATCATTGAGCACGCATGAATCACTTCATACGATATGTACTTTCCCTGGCTGCATCCTTGGTATGTCGCAAATGTGGTGGGGCCATATCTTTGGTCACGTTTGTGGTGTGACCTTCTGTGTGTTCTGCCCACACCTTTTGAGATGATGTTGCATCAATTGGTGTGACCTAAACTCATGTCACATTACAAGGACAATAACAAGGATCTGGAGCCATATAATACGAAAGGATTTTTTTTCGCAAATGTGCCAGTTGCACACTTTATTTCATCCATACATCTTTACTTTAATTTTTCTCAAAACTACCTTGGACCTCGACCTGGATACCACGACAGGCCGGGACGCAACGTACATACGCGAGGGTTCACGTGAAACTCGACTGTGGCCGCTACAAATACATAGTTTTTTTCATGCGCTGCCTTCAATTCTCGTGATTCGCATACCAAACACGCGAGAAACTCGACTACACGTGAGGACAGGCGGGGACTGGGGGCAGGAGCGGGGGAGTCGCACAACGAGACCACAGACTGCAGCATAGTGCGGCATCACGGAATCTCAAGAAATACCCATAACTCGTTCAACAAACGATGCGCAGCACTGCCGGGTGCAGGGAAAGTCTATAATAAGCACACGAGGCGAAATCCGATTTACAACAAGCAGAGGCAGCAAGTTGCGGTATAATTGCTCAGTGCAAACACATGGTCAGCTGACGTGCACGGCGGCCACGCATGTGCTCGGCCCCACACGTGCCCGGCGGCACGACGGCGCCCCCCTCCCGCGACACACCGACACACCGCCCGGTCCCCGCGAGGCCCCCGGAGCCCGGCGCGCACCTCGCCTCCACCTCGGCCCGCCGCAGTCTGCGCCCAGACCTTGCCCAGTCCAGATCAGGAATCCTGCTGCCGCTGCCCGCGACCTCCGGCCGCCGCGCCCCTCCCCGCCCCGCGCCCAGAGGTTGTCCGCCCGGAAGGAACAGGAGCAGCGGCCGCGCGCGTGCAGCGTCCTTCCTGCCGTCCCCGCCCTCCCCGTCCTCGCCGTCACCACCATGAAGGCGGCGACGGTGGCCGGCGTGCTGCTCGCCCTGCTGTGCGGCGCGGCCTGCAGCCCCATCCTCGGCGTGCCCGCGTACTCCGTGATGACGGCGGAGGACGACGACAGCGCCGGCGCCGACGGCGCAGACACCGACTTCTCGCACCTCGTCGTCACCACGGGTATGTACGACGCCAACGTCGTCGGGTCGTTGAGACACCCGCGGTCACCCCCTGTCAGAAAGGACCGAGGAAGTCGGCGTCAGCGGTGAGACCGAGGGGTCGTTGCTCGGAGCGGGCGGGAGCGGCGGATTCGCCCCCAGTTAACCTTGAGCGTCCCAGACTCACTGCCGAGGACTCAGCAGGAAGTGCGGCGCGCCGCCGCACAAGCAGTGAGTGCAAGAGAGACGGCGATGGGGTCATACGGCCGAACGCGGGGTTCGAGGTAGTGCGATGGAGAGAGAAAGGGGAGGCCCCCCTCCTGCCCACCCACCCCCTGCCCAATCTCACTGCACTGCGGAGTGTTCCTTGACCCTTAGCTTGGGAAAAAATAAATTCGATGGGTAGGCTACAGAGTTGGATGCGGGGCGCCGCGCCCACACCCAGAAAAATTGTTTATTGTTTCAAGAGCATGCTGCTCATCCAATATTAAATTCACTCTTGAAACAAGTCAGTCTTGTCTTTGGAATAAGATTTTTCTCTCATTTGAAAGATAATATGATCTTGTTTCAAGAGTAAAATTTATCTTGGAGCCGCATTTACCTGAAACAAGGAGAGATGTGCTTGAAACAAGAAACAGTTTTTCTGGCTGCAGCTGACTTAAAGTCCCCAACTTACTGGAAACATTCTGGTTTTCCATGCCACACTGCACTAACTATATCGCATTTCTTCGTTAGCAGTCCCGTATAGATGAGCCATGGCTTTACACACGGTGCAGTTTACTCTAAAACCCCCTATAGATATGAATGCTCATAAAAACAGCAATCATTGATGCTCACGGTTGGGTTTTTGGCTTATATTTCCAATCCGGCGTATGAATTTGAGAAGTACTTGTCTTCCTTCACCTATCTGCCACAGCCGCCCCAGCCCGGTACCTGGCCGCACCAGGGATCATCCAGCCTCTGCCAGCTCTGATAGCGCCTGCTGGGTAGGCAACATCCTGTCTGCTGTGCACGCGTGTACTGCGGGGTGGCCTACCCCGAGCCTCGCAGGCGCTGAGCTCACCCGTTATAATATTTGCCAGTTGGTGGCGGCCCGCTACCAACTACCACCAGGGCCAGGACCAGAGCAAAGCGGACTTTCCAGAAAGTACGTCCGTTTTTCTGGGGTTCATTCGGCAAATATTAGAAAGGATGAGCTCAGCGCCTGCGAGGATCGGGGTAGGCCACCCCGCAGTACACGCGTGCACAGCAGACAGGATGTTGCCTACCCAGCAGGCGCTATCAGAGCTGGCAGAGGCTGGATGATCCCTGGCGCGGCCCACTGTGCGGCGTGGCCCTGCCGCCAGCGCCTCGTTGTCCCTGACGATGAAAATAGAGACGGGACCGAAAGCGGGCGTCCTCCTCCGGGCCGGGATCGAAACAGAGGGAACAGAAAATCAGCCACTAAGCGGAACAGCTCCCACAGCCGTACGAAAGAGCTCGTAACCGTTCAAAGAGACTTCCAACTTTCAGAGCCCAGTGGGCTGGCCAAACTACAGAACCGATAAAAAACACATAAATATGCGAGTCATCATAAACTGCCTGAGCTGCGGCAAGTCGTCAATCGTTCTGTATTTTGTTCCGTCTCGTCGCACGTTGCCGGGCCGGGCAGGCGGGGCAGGCAAACCACAAGCCGTTTAACTCGTTGGTCTTTACCCGCACTTACACGCGTGCGCTGCGCATCATCTCTTCTCCCGATTCTCGGTTATTATCGCGGCCGAATCTCTCTGTTTATTCCGCGACTCGCGCGGCCTCTTCCCTCCCCCCGCGGCTGCGTGCGTGTTTGTGCCGCGCGGCTGTTTGGGGCCCAACCGCAGCGCAGCGTGCGGGGATCGTCCACTGTCATTACCGCGGAGGGGCGGGGCGGGGCAGCAGTTCGGC